CTGAGGTGGTCTATAGTTATAAGCACCCAGGATTGTCTAACTATTTTTTTGTTCAAAACATTGATTGCTTTCTATTCTCTACTCTCAAAGTTGACTCAACCAATGTGCAGAATTCGTTCTAGCCTACGGCTGTCGCTGCCGACCTAATCTCTTCTCTTAGCCCATTTTCAAACTATCTGCATTTATCAATTTCATTGCTTACCAGAACTTTGGCATACTTTGAAAGTTCAATAAATTTCACCTGATATTCTGCAAGTTATCTACCCTCGTATTAGCTTCAAAAATTCTTCCTGCTTTGTATCTTTATATGAACGAGAGTAATAAACACCATAAAAGATATGCCAAAAATCTATCCAAGTGATAATAGATGGGTCTTAGCAAATGCTTTATACTGACTGGCACCAATCATATGCACCCTCATCTAATAAGAAAGTGGCAAGACAACTTCTGATCATTTGGATAGCCCATAACATCAAATACCCTCTCTATCTTGGTTATCAATGCCTGAGCAATTGCAGGATCAACTGTGCCAATGAAAACCTTAGTCCCTAATTTTTTAGCCTTCTCAATACTGAAATCTCTATTAGTACTATGCATAGCATAAGCAATAGCAATAGCAATACTTTCAAAAGTCATAGGATCATTTCCAATCACATTTTCCCATCCCCATTGTTTAGGAGATTGGTGAACTGATTCATCTACTCTCTCGAACTCTTTGAGTTCATCTTTATTAGCAGCAATATAAGATTAGGGTAACATATCTTGGAATCTTCGAGTTTTGCCACCACGAGGTACGACTCACCTATAGTTATGCATGATATGCTAAACATTAGAATGTATGAATGTACAACGCAAACCCATGGACTCTAAAACCATGCTTTAATACTAAACTGACATACCCTGCTTCGGAGTAACACCAATGAGCCCAAAACTTGACTTGCATAGATGATGGATACCAACTAAAGGTCGGATCAAACATCAAGACTACCACAACTACAATATGCAACTTTTTAGAAATTAATTTTAACAAAATTTTGGCATTATCTCCCTTATAAATAGGACTAACCGACCTGCAATTCACAATGTACAATTCCCAATATATAACACAACATAATAGAGATAAGCCGAAATCTCAATTTTTACTATGAAAATAACATAAGATGTACATATGGATACAAAATACACACTTAGCCCCATAACCATCTATAAGTGATGTAAAATCACAACCAAACATGAACATGCGTTCCAAAATATTAACTACATGCTCTACAAAGTGAGTTATACTACCAAACCCTGTCGTGTGGCTCTAACTCCAAAATCAAAGCTCAACTACAAAAGATATCCAGAAACTCAATTGTTACCTACTAAGAAAAAGGGTGACAAAATATATGAGTTGATATCTCAGTGAGTGAAAAAGTTCAAAAGTAAATATACATTTTCATTTATACATTTTTATCGAAAATCGAGTTATTTCATTTAATAATTCACAAGATAACATCATCTAATAATAGCCAAAAAGTAAGACATTCATTTAACGTAGTAAAATATCATCTCAAAATCGTGATATAAACATCAATTGGTAATCATACCATAATCTCATAACATCAAATGTACTGAAAAATCCACCACAAAAGTACCTTTTGATTGAAATCTGTAATCTAATCATACACGCATAGACTGTCCCTTAGGCTAAGCATTCCCAACACGGGCTTGAAGCCCTTTCATTGAACAGAAGTTGATCTCAAAAACCACTCATAATCAATTCTAGAACACGGTCAAGACTCCTTAGTAAACTATATGTACACGATCAAGATCCCTTCATCCTCTATCAAGACCCCTCAATGTAGTATAGAACACAGCCAAGATCTCTTAGTGAACTAGAAGAAATATATAATCATGGGGACTTATTGGGCCGATCTCAATATCACATATGTCCCACATACCGAATCACAAATGTATCACAAGTAATCTTTAAAATTTCACATATATCATAATAAAAGAAATTTCCATAATAATATTATAATCGAATACATAATTGCATATAATTTAATAATATATTTAATTTATAAATACTTTAAAACTATCTTTCCACTCAATTACATATAGCTTATATGCCATTACCCTATCACCCCCGCCAGGGGCAGAACTAACTCGATAAGATCAAGATCCATTGAATCCCGGTGTAATCAGTACGTATGACTCAAAATCCGTATCGCCTCTTGAAATACATATAATTTTTAGATTAATAATTAACCATTTTAAGAAATTCTAATAATTAAATAGGCAATACCAAAACTTAATCTTTTCATGTTTAAGCGATTTTTGAAGTTCCTTTAATTACTTAAGCTAATTTTTCTTTCATTTAACTTAATTACATAGCTTATTATACTTAATTCAATAGTTCTTTTTCAATAAAATCGAATTTAAACTAATAATCTAACAACTCTAAAATCAAACATAACTATGCAATAAATTACTTTTTACTTACCTTTCAAATATGAGGAATTCAAACCTAATAGTATAAACCATTCATTTTCTAACAATTTGGGGAACCCCCCTCCCCTTTTCTTTTTCTTTTTCTTTTTCTTTCTTTCCTCTCTACACTTCCTTTTTTTTCCCCCTCTGCTTCGTTTTCTTTCTAGTGTGTGTTGCATGTGTTTTTGTGTGACAAATGGATTTGGATGTGAATGATATGCATGTGAATTGGATTGGTTATAACAATCCAATTTTAAAGCCAATTCATAGCCGGACTTTTTGCTCTCCTTTTTATTTTATTTTTATTTTTTTAGTAGCATGACATATTTGATTTTTCTTTCCTATTAAATAAGGTATTACACAATATGAGCCAAAAGAATTAAATTCCATATCATAAAGGCAACAATACAAGTGAATCTCCTTACAAGGAAATCAATTGTCCTTGTTCACTCACATTTCTCAAACATAACAACAATGCTAAAATTGTTCAAAAATTTTATAAGACATGTAGCTGGATAGTTCTTTTTCAATAAAATCGAATTTAAACTAATAATCTAACAACTCTAAAATCAAACATAACTATGCAATAAATTACTTTTTACTTACCTTTCAAATATGAGGAATTCAAACCTAATAGTATAAACCATTCATTTTCTAACAATTTGGGGAACCCCCCTCCCCTTTTCTTTTTCTTTTTCTTTTTCTTTCTTTCCTCTCTACACTTCCTTTTTTTTCCCCCTCTGCTTCGTTTTCTTTCTAGTGTGTGTTGCATGTGTTTTTGTGTGACAAATGGATTTGGATGTGAATGATATGCATGTGAATTGGATTGGTTATAACAATCCAATTTTAAAGCCAATTCATAGCCGGACTTTTTGCTCTCCTTTTTATTTTATTTTTATTTTTTTAGTAGCATGACATATTTGATTTTTCTTTCCTATTAAATAAGGTATTACACAATATGAGCCAAAAGAATTAAATTCCATATCATAAAGGCGACAGTACAAGTAAATCTCCTTACAAGGAAGTCAACTGTCCTTGATCACTCACATTAATTCTCAAACATAACAGCAATGCTAAAATTGTTCAACAACTTTATGAGACATGTAGTTGGATAAAAGAAACTTTTTTTTTTCCAAAAAAACATTAAAGTGGTACTTCAAGTCTAGAATAACAAAATTCAAGTAGTTGAATCTTCCAATTATGGCCAAGGGATAACACCAAATCATTTATTTGCGGAGAGTGATTTAACTACGACAAACATGTACAGAAAAGGGCTCATAGCAATAGCCCCTAATTAGAGGATAATCTACAATACACTTGTTTTAAGAACTTTGTCTCTAGCCCCATTTAATTTCTTTTTCCTTTGTTTTGGGCTATTAATAGCTGGGATTGGGATTGGAATTTTTAGTGCATGCAAATCAGTGGAGAAATGGGCTTCTACTTAGGGGTCCATTGTTTAACACTAGAGAACACCTGAGATGCCTTCTTGGGTTTTGGATGCTAATATGGATATCCATGAGTTTGGAAGCAAGTGTCCATGGTATGACTTGTACTCTTACAGAGAGTACATTTCCGATCTTTCTTTGATATAGGCATTTTCCTAGATGCCATCACAGCCGTTTCTCTAGTTGTTCCTCCAAACATGGCATCTTGATGATTATCTTCCTCAGAAACAGCATTTTGTATATTTAGAAGTCGTTTTGTAGCAAGTACTCAACCTCCAACCCTATTCAATTAATCAAGGCCAGCCAAAACATATACACCCGTTGAGAATTAACATTTGTGGTATATTTCTCAATATCCTTGGCACATTCAATAGAACAATCATCAATATCGTCAAGGTACTGCCAAATCTTCTGTAGTTAGCAAAAGTAGGAGATAACAGACCCCATTTTAGTGAAAAGAAATCACATTGTAGTGTAGCTGATAGCCCTTTGATTCATCCTGCTTGACTGAATATGTCTCCCGATTGCTTTCCATATTTCTTTTGCAAGAGAAAATGAAGAAAGAGGGATCTGATATTATTGATGGAATATGTATATTTTAGGAATTTCTAGAAGATTGTAGAATTGCTTGGCAAGAATATCCTAGAATTGCTTGGCAAGCAAGAATAATAAAAAAAGCAGAATTATCTAGAATTCACTAGAGAAACTTAGGTACCAAGAAAGTTTGTGTTGTTTGTAGGCGCATGTAAAATTATCTGGAAGAAATCATGTGTAAGCTATGGTCCATAAATAGGGCATGAGTCTCTCATTTGTATATAAGCGGGAAAAAAAAAGCTATTGTAAGCAAAAGACATTGTCATTCTAATAAAGTTCCTTTTTCCTACCCTCTTTGTCTACTAAATTACTTTTTATCAAAATCTTCCATACTACTAACTTCCAATAAAAAGTCAACTATTTTCTACCTCCAAAATTATCCCATACAAAACATATTAAACCATCTAATCTAATCTCATCACTACAAGAAAAACCATCAGTGATATCAGAGCTACGTTCGATTGATATTGGGCGTAATTAGATATTATGGCAGACACTTTCTGTTCATCCATCCCTATTCCAACATTTAATGGAGACAACTATGACTTTTGGTCCATCAAAATGAAGACCCATCTTTGTGCGCAAAATTTATGGGATGTCGTCAATGATGGGTATATTAATCCAGATGACATTTCCACTCTATCTACCGCACAAAAGAAGGAACTTAAAGAGAATCAACAAAAAGATTCTCTAACTCCCCTTGCTCTACAAATGAGCTTGGCAGACACTTATTTTTCAAGAATCATGAGAGCCAAAATGGTAAAAGAAACTTGGGATAAATTGAAGGAGGAGTTTTACGGGAGTTACAAGGTACGTACTTGCTGTCTTCAAACTTTAAGAAGGAATTTTGAAAATTTAAAAATGAAAGATTCTGAAATCGCTAAAGATTATTATTCAAAAATAGATAAAATAGTAAATCAAATAAAATCTTATGAAGATGATGTTCCTCAAAAGAAAGTCGTTGGAAAAATTTTAATTACTTGCACAGAAAAATATGATCCAATTATTGCAGCTATTGATGAGTCAAAAGATATAGATAAGTTAACAGCTGGAGAATTAATGGGTTCACTAGAAGCATATTAAAAAAGATTAGAAAGGTATTAAGAGATTAACACGAAAAAGCATTCCAATCTAAAGTCAATATGCGGTTTCAGAAATCTAAAGAAGGTGGGAGAAAATTTAAAGAAAATTGTAAAAATAAAGAGACTCAAGGAAAAGAATTTGGTAAAAGCGGCAAGTATCCTTCATGTGGTATATGTAAAAGAAAAAGTCATTTGGAGAAGGACTGTTGGTTTAAAGGAAAATCACAGTTCGTCACGACGAAAACTTTTGTTGTTCTAAACAAAATCATCAAGCTAATTTCTCTGAAGAAAATGATATAGAAGGAAGTTTATTTTACGCCACTAGCAATGATGCATCTGGTGACAAATTGGATAATGGTATCAAGACACTGGTTTTAGTAATCATATGACAAAAGACGAAAATATTTTCTGTAGTCTTGATAAAATCAAGGCAAAAATGAAGATTAGCAATGGAAATTTTATAGAGACAACAAGTAAATGCACTATTGCTTTGGACACAAAAAAGGTCAAGAGATACATCAATGAAGTTCTCTTAGTCCCTATAATAGATCAAAATCTATCAAATGTAGGTCAGATGATGGAGAAAGAATATACATTGCATTTTGAAGGAGATTATTGCACGATCTATGAAAAGAAAGATAAATCTCTTGTAATTGTTAAAGCCAAAAAGTGAGAGAACAGGTGCTTTCCAATCCAATGGAGATATGCAAACAGTGCGGCAATGATGGCACAAGTGGACGAGTCATAGCTGTGGCACAAAAGATTTGGACATTTTCACTTCCACGGGTTGAAGATCCTGCAGCAAAAGAACATGATGAGAGACTTACCAGTCATAAAAGAGATTGATGCAGTCTGTGAAGGATGTTTGCTCAGGAAATAACAACGCTAACCATTTTCGTTCGAAAAATCTTGGGGAGCTAAAACGCCATTAGAGCTAATACATACAGATGTATGCGATGTGATGCGTACTCTATCACAAAAGCAAAACAGGTACTTTATTCTCTTCATTGATGACTATACTAGAATGACATGAGTATATTTTTTATGTGAAAAATCCCAAGTATTTGAGGATTTTAAAAGGTTCAAAAGCTATGTCGAAAAGCAAAGTGGTTGCAATATCAAAACTATCAGAAGCGATAGAGGCAAAGAATATACATCCAATGAATTCAACAAGTTTTGTGAAGACAAAGGAATGAAGCATCAACTCACAGTTGGATACGCGCTTGAACAAAATGGTGTGTCAGAAAGAAAGAATAGAATAGTAATGGAGATAGCTAGAGTTATGCTAACGGAGAAAAATCTTCCAAAAATTTGTTGGGCAGAAGTAGTAAGTACTACAGTCTACCTACTAAATCGATGTCCAACTAAAGCTGTGCAAGACAAAATGCCAGTGGAAGCATGAAGCGAACGAAAACCATCAGCAAAGCATCTCAGAGTTTTTGGCTGCATGTACTACACACATATTCCACAAGAGAAAAGAGGTAAACTAGATGAAAAAACAGAAAAATGAATCTTCTTAGGTTATAGTACTCAATCAAAAGGCTATTGAGTATATAACCTAAGAACAAAGAAGCTGATTATAAGTCGAGATGTTAAGTTTGATGAAGTGCCACTACAACTGGGGGACTTGTTAAGTCGAGAGAAAAGCTAGCAGCATCCTTACACAACCAGAAAAGCAGGAGGGTGATGTTGAGGAGAACAATCAACCAGAGTCCTCATAGCAAGCAACAATAGAAGAACCGGTTGACTCACCAGAATCGTCACCAAGGAAGATACGAAGATTATCGAAAATATATCAATGCTGCAACTTGATGATCGTTGAACCTGAAAAGCTATGAAGCAGCTTCAAAACAATTAAAATGGAAAAATGCTATGGATGAAGAAATAAAAATGATCAAGAAAAACAACACTTGAGAACTTGTAGATCTTCCTCAAGACAAAGAAGTCATAGGAGTTAAGTGGGTTTACAAGACAAAGCCCAATGCTGATGGCTCAATCCAAAAACATAAAGCAAGGCTAGTCGTCAAAGGATACTCACAGCATTTTGGCATCAACTACGCTGAGACATTTGCTCTAATTGCATGTCTTGACATTATAAGGGCGTTGATTGCACTACCTGTACACAAAAATTGGAAGATTTACCAGCTAGATGTCAAATCAGCATTTCTTAATGGCTATCTTGAAGAAGAAATTTATATAGAGCAACCTCAAGGATACATGGTACGAGGAAAAGAAGATAAAGTTCTCAAACTAAAGATGACCCTATATGGATTAAAACAAGCTCCACGAGCGTGGTATAGCAGAATAGACAATTACTTCATTGAGCAAGGATTTAGAAGGAGCCAAAGTGAACCAACTCTATACATCAAAAATCAAGGTACAAGCAGTACACTTATAATTCCTTTATATGTTGATGATCTCATCTATACAGGGAATGATGAGAAGATGATCGAGAAATTCAAGGACGATATGATGAAAACGTTCGAGATTACTGATTTGGGATTAATGCACTATTTTCTTGGGATCGAGATAGCTCAATTTGAAGATGAGATCTTCATTGCTCAGAAGAAGTACACCATCAGTCTATTAAAGAAGTTTAAGATGGAAGGTTGCGAAACAGTAACAATACCTTTGGATAGCAACAAATCACTTAAAAAAGAAGGCGGTACTCCAAAAGCAGACAGTTCACAATTTCAAAGCTTAATTGGAAGTTTACTCTATCTCACAGCTACAAGACCAGACATAATATATGCAACCAGCCTACTTTCAAGATTCATGCAAAATCCAAGTCAAGTTCACTATGGAGCTGCAAAGCGGATACTAAGATACCTCCAAGAAACAAAAGACTATGGAATAAGGTATCAGTCTACGCCTAAATCAAGACTACTTAGGTATACTGATAGCGATTGGGTAGGATTAGTAGATGATATAAAGAGCACATCAAGCTATGCATTCACATTAGGTTCCAAAATATTCTCTTTGGCATCAAAGAAACAAGCAAGGGTTGCACAATCATCAGCTGAAGCAGAGTGTATTGTAGCAGCAACGGCAACGAGGGAAGCTATTTGGTTAAAACGTATGCTTGAAGACATGGGAAAACCACAAAATGAAGCAACAGAGATCTATTGCGATAGCAAGTCAGCAATAGCAATGGCCAAGAATCCCGTATTCAACAGCAGAACCAAACACATTAGCATCAAGTATCATTTCATTAGAGAAGCTGAAGCAAATAAAGAGATAAAGCTCAAACATTGCAAGACTGAAGAACAATTAGCATATTCACAAATGCGCTACCACGGGAAAAGTTTGAAATACTACGAGAAATGATTGGAGTTACCAAAATATGCATCAAAGATGAGTATTGATGGTTGATGAATATTTTAGGAATTTCTAGAAGATTCTAGAATTGCTTGGCAAGCAAGAATAATGAAAAATCAGAATTATCTAGAATTTACTAGAGAAACTTGGGCAATAAGAAAGTTTGTGGTTTGTAGGCACATGTAGAATTATTAAGAAGAAATCATGTGTAAGCTATGGTCTATAAATACGGCATGAGTCTTTCATCTGTATGTAAGCAAAAGTCATTCTCATTCTAATAAAGTTCCTTTCTCTTACCCTCTTTGTTTACTAAATTACTTTCTATCAAAATCTTCCATATTACTAACTTCCAATAAAAAGCCAACTATTTTCTACCTCCAAAATTATCTCATACAAAACATGTTAAACCATCTAATCTAATCTCATTACTACAAGAAAAACCATCAGATATCTTTTGTCTATCAAGGAGCCAAGATTTTAACAAACAATTTTCATCTTCCCAAGCTTCATATTCTTCTAACCAGACATCTTGAAGTGCAGCTATGGTCCCAGAAATATAATCTCAACATTTTGTTCCACGGATCTTAAGTTGAGCGTTCAAAGCACATTCAACATAATTGGTACCATCAAGTCATTCCGAAACAATTAACGAGGAAGTTTCTTGCACATGGAACACAACCATTGTAGTAGAATCATCTCTTTGGAGAATCATCACCTTTAGCCATTGTGGATAAGATGCCAAAAAAGAATTTCCGAAATGGAATGATATGAGCAGAAAAAAAGGACAATTGTGAACACAAGAAACAAAAAAAAAAAAAAAAAAAAAATCTTCAGTTCATAAGAGTAAAAAAAAAAAAAATGAGATTAAATGTGGCTCTGATACCAAGACAATGAACATTAAAGTAAAAGTAATTTTTTGATAATTCATTCATCACATAAAAAAAAAAAATGTCTTGACCATTTTTGGCTAGTTACCTTATATCACGCCTAAAAATAATTGACTAGGAATATATTCTAGAATAAAATAGGAAAACCCATTATTGCACATGTAATACACAAAAAAGGGAAACCGAATTAATTCCTGAATTTTTCACTTTGTCCAGTAAATTTCAATATCAGTAATATGTAGTTGTACAACCATTTTCTTTTGTGTCATCGACCCACAAAAGACCAGGAAACGGGATAGAAAGTGCCAACTTCGCTACAATATGTTGTACACCTGGCCTATCAACGCATCTAAATCAACAAATTTTCTGATTTTTGAGCAACAAGTTTCAGCTGTGCTCAATGGGCTCGACTTGGATGAATTCACGGAGGAAACTGTCAGCTTCTCTCCTCTCTTGATTTTTAAGTTCGATATCAGCACATACTCTTCCCCATTACAAAGAAAAACATCCACTGGTGAGTAAAAAGTGCTTCATGCATTGATCCTTTCAAACTCATTTTTCTTGGCTTTGTGAAAATAGCTCCATTGAGATACCATCATCTTCTTCAAGTTTCTTCTCTTTATCTCCATCCACAAAATTTTCTTGGCTTGCTTTCGATCTATCATTTCAAAATCACACTTCAGTTGAACCTTTAGTTTTGAAATTTCTATTGAACATTTGCTTGCAACGAGCATATCATCTACATAAATCAATAAGTAGATGCTCATTTTGCAGATAGGCTTTTATAGTGTACACG